CTCTTTCAATTCTTTATCAATCAACAGTACCATCCCACCTCTTTTTCACCCTTTATCAAATATACTAGTAGCATTAATCTTATAAATTTTGTATGTGTTACTTACATCTGTCGGAGGCTTTCTTGAATCTAATTCACCCAACCAGGTTTCCATCCAACAAGTGATATGAAACTTTCTCACAATGCTCCAATATTCCATTTCATATTCCCTCTTCCATCCATTCATATTCCAACTAAGGATTTTTAATGAATCATGCTTACTCCTAAAAAAGAATCACTGACACAACTATCCTCTTCTTTATCCTTGACAGCCTTGCGAATGTTTCCACCTATCACCAATTTATCACCTTTAAAATAAGCAATTTTCCCCTCCTTTCTGGCCTGTCTTAAATTATCCATCTGTTGTTTTCTCTTCTCTCTACATTCAATAGACAGGTCCTCCCTTATGCGCACTGCCTTCCTCCAGTCAGAGACATCCAATTTATTACACTTACTCTTCCAGCTGGTCAATATATCTCTTTTCGCCTGCATAGAAATACAGGAAACCAAAACCATCATATTATTTCTGGTATTTTTAGTAAGTCCAACACAGTCAACAAGGACATTCGATAAACCAACAACATCCCGAATTAACTTCAATACTGTATCAAAAAGATTTTCCCTATCACTCAACTCCACATTAAACAGTACCAAATTTATTTTCCTTAGATTATTGCCTTCAAGTGTGTTAACTCTTTTGGTTAGAGTAGTGATCATTTGCATATTGTTAGTCATTTCCGCAATCGTACACAGATTCTAATTTATTGATTCTCTCCAACAGTATATTAATCTTATCGTTCATTTGCACGAAATTATCTTTTACTAAACGTAATTCCGTCTCTATTTTTAATTCTATAGCATCTTTCATTTCACTCAACATACCTCTTATTCTTAGAAGAATAATTCTTGATCCAAATTCTTTCTAGTGTCTCTCACTTTAATAGCACTTCCCGTGGAACAGGACCGCAAACATTTACCTGGTGGTGTTGTTAATATCCTTGTGCTCTTCTCAAAGGCTGCTTCCTTTTCTTTGGCACTATCCCAATTCGTACATTCCCAATTTTAACAAATTTATCCATAATAAAGGCAATCACAAAAGCTTAGCCGCAACAAGTACAACTTCACTTCAAAACTCACCAACAGCCTCAGCGACTATAGCGCCCCCCGAATATGTAATTTAAATACAAGAGAGAGTAAAATTAATGGATACAAGACAATATAACAAATATATCTATTATTGATCTGTAATTGTTGCAGGTCATCACAAACTATAAAATTACATGCAAAGTAAATTTGCTGTTATAGGCTGAAACAAACAATGAAATAATTTATGTAGCTAGAAATATAGCAAGTCAAATTTTTGTAGCTCAAAAAGTAGCCAATGCACTAAATGATTTTTTATTTGCCAAACTAAAAAAAGATATCCCATTTTGGTGCAAAGTAGCCAAATCTTTTCATTTGAGATACAGTACATAATATGCATATAATTTATGGTGGGTAGTCATCTTCTGTCTTTAGCACTTGTGAACCTCATTACACTAGCACTACAGTGACTAACATAAAGTGGAAGTAGCTTAACTGTCTTCTAACAAAGCAGCTTTACTAGAAAACATACCCAGTCTATATTTTTAGTGTTTTTTGTAAGTGTATATTAATGACATCTTGTGACAATTTTTTTGATAAAAAATATTACAACATTGCATGAATTTCAAAAAAATTAAAGAGTAACTACAGAACAATCTCAATGTTTTAAGGAAGTTTACAATTTTATGTTCGGCTGCAGGTTAGGTTGGATAGCTTTTTGAAACATCCTGTATATCATGTTGTTATTTCTATGTATAATGATTTGATTTCAAACTTTTTTTGCTTTTTTTTTTTTTTTTGAAAGTTTAATATTGATGAATGTTGCTTTATAACACAGCAGCAATTGATGTTTCCTTGTAAGAGATTAACACTTGTCATGTCTATCCAAGACCAAAAATTTTCCCAGATCATGCATAAAATTTCCTTGAAAATTATTGCACACTAATGCAGAAAATAAAACAATAATTTATGAACCAATTAGTAATTATTACTATATAGTTTAGAAAATTCAAATTAAATCATACAAATAATTATATAGTGCAAATATATAATTATTTGTATAATTTGCCATGCAGCACTACACTTAAATTAATGTAAATTTTTAAATTAAAAGAACATTTTATTTTAAGCATGTGTCATCATCATAGAATGGCATATACAATACATTGATTAACAGAAATAAAATTCATCACTGATCATTCATCATAAAAGTCATCACTGATATTATGAATTATCTATTTTTAGCACTGGATTGATAATTAATGAACTTTTTGATGTCCAAAAATGCAAAATATATTCATGAAACAATGATTGTACAATTTTTTTCTTAAAAAATTATTTAAGAAATCAAAAACTCTAAAAAACTCTTTTGCAAAAAGCAAAGGAGTTTTTTAGAGTTTTTGATTGATTTTTCATTATTTTATTTATTTATTTTTTGAAAACATGACTGTATTTTTAAGATGCTTTAAAACATATTTTGGCATGAATATTTTTTGTTAAATTTTTGAAAAAATATGAAAAATATAGGAAAATAATGTTTATAAAATGATGAAAAACTTGTTTAGCTGTTTATTTAATGAGGATAAGCCATAAAAGTTTTTAAACAGAGTTTATTAATCTGCAAATTTTCCTTGTAGGGAACAAGTGAATATTTCATTTTAATTCAAGCTGACATGATATTTCACTCATTAATTAGTGCCAAAAAGAGTTTTGAAATAAAAATGGATTTTATTTTTCGTTTAAAACTCTTTTTGGCACTATTTAATGGGTGAAATATGATGTCAGCTTGAATTAAAATAAAATGTTCACTTATTTTCTCACTTGTGCTGCTTTAATTTCCCTCATAACTTGGTCATGCAATTGGACATATTCTGTATCTGTGTCCTGTCATATTGATCTATAAACTTCACAACCATCTTTGTTTTCTATTGGTTATTGCCTTCCTAATTACACTAACAGAAGTTTTATTTTCTAACTTGATTTTCTGATCTTTTATGTGCTATAGAGAAAGTATTTCTGATTTTTGTTTCTATATTATTTTTTTCTTAGATGATTACAGAAATTGAATTTGTAAGAATCATTTTGCTATTTCAGAGTACCCAGCCAAAAGGGTTTGGAGAGAATTGTGTATATAGTAATTATAATAAGTATTAATAATAAGTTTGTGTATACGTGAATTATTTCAGACAACTTAAATTTGAACAAGTGTAGTTAAAATATTATCCATTGTTTTTTTTGACAATTTGAAGCATCAGTACTATTAAGTGCTATCAATGTTTAAAATAATTATCATTTCAAATAATTTAGCAAATATTTTTTTAGATTTGATGTTTAATAATTTAATACACAAAGTCAGAATTAATGCACTTGAATTAAACATATATATCTTTATTAATTTTTTTATTTGTTAATGAAAATTTTATAGATTATAGTGTACATACTTGTCTATAACAATGATCTAAATAGTCATTGAGATTAATTTGAACAATAATTTTAATCAAATATTGTTTTTCTTTGTTTTGGCTTCTACATGTTTGGAATTACAGTGTTGTCTCATATTTTGAATTTAATTTATATCTAGAAGCCATTAAAACTCTGAATTTCTCTGAATTCCAAATTAATTTCCTCATTAGAAATAATGGAAAGTGAATTAATCTGTTTCCAGATCCTAAACAATGCCATTTTGATAAACTTGAACAGCAAATACATATAATTTAAGGTAACAAGAACTTAAATAAATGCTCTGAATAATAAATTAAAACATAAAACAAATAAATACTGTATAATAAAATGAAAATTGTATTTACTGGACATACATTATTGACTTTATCATCTTAAATATGGCTACTAGATTCACCACACTTAAGCTTTCATGCTTTGCAATAAGTTCCTTTTTAATCTCAATTGTTGATACTACAACCTTCCTCTTAGGCTTCATTGCTTCCACACACTTCTTGGATGTCGTGATTAATAGGTAAGAGTTATATATATATATATATATAACCAAACATATGATCATAATACAAGAGATGTTTTCAGAGTGAGACCAAGAGACAACTGGCCACACAACAGATCACATCTATGCTGTAAGCACATTTTTTTCACTGTCTGCAGTTTGAATATAGAACCATTTTTAAATTCAGATCAAATTTCTCTCAAATTTAGCATTCAAACTCTGGAACATTTAAAATTAGTGAATTGTTAAAAGTATGAGGTACCACTGTATTATAGACCTTGTAATAAACATTATAGAAACAAACCCATTTTTGACCCAAGTTTGAATCAGAGTCAACTCAGAAATATTTTACAGTTGGGTTAATCTAAATATGTTAGGGCCAACCTAACTGCTCAATTGTTGGCTAGTTGAACCATAATGAGTATGAAACAATCTCTTAGTGTTCACACAGGCTCGTCTTTGGTACGTGCAAGGCCCTGGGCCAAGAAAAGCTTGGAGGCCCCTTAAGGAATTTGTAACAGCAGGTTAATGTTTATAAATTTTTTCAGTTAGCTTTCTCTGCTAAACGTATTATATTTATGTTTAATAAAATTTATCAAACATATCTTTTGATGGTTTACTGTTTATAATAATTTTATTACTTATTGGTCTATTCAATTTTGCATATTTTTGAGGTCTCGAATGTTAGGAGGCCCCTGGGCCCAGGCCCAGTAGGCCCACACCTAAAGATGGGCCTGTTCCCATAGAGTATAAAGATTCAATAGTAGAAAGAAAAAGATATGATCTAAAATCTTTTATTTTTACCTAGTATTACATATTTAAAAATAAAATCTTTTTAATAGATTTTTTTTTGTGATAAAATTTTCTTATTAATAGTTTAGATTATATAATTTTTAATTTTTAAAAATGCTTTTTAAATGTAGCGTTTTGCAAGAAGAAGCTACTGAGCACCAAAGTTTTGAAACTTTGGCTTCTACTCTTCATCATCATTTTGGAAAATCTGATTATTTTCATGTAGGATGTGCCATTGTAAGTATTTTAAACATTTACATTGGTTGATATAAAATTAATTCACTATATAGTTTAACAATATAAGTACTCAGATATGCTCAAATTACAGTATTCTCTTGCTAATCTGGTCTCTCAGTTATCCATCATCTCCAGTGTTATGGCCTATTCACTTCCATTTTCATGAAAATGTTAAGGCTGTTATACACGTTATGGAAATCCTCAAAGGATGTACTTAACAGACGAAAAAAATCAGATATAACTGGCTGGATCGAACATAGTAATTTACAAAACTTATTAAAATATTTCCCAACGTATAAAGAATTATTTTTATTTAAAGGTGGATAGATAGAAAAAAAATCACGGTTAATCCTCAAAGGATTTCCGTAACGTGTATAATAGCCTTTAGTCATGTCTCACATTGTATTTTCCTGTTTTTTTGGCTTCATTTCTTTGTACAGTGTTGCACATCAGCACACCATATTACTTGCACTACCTGCCTTCAAAAAGAATTAGTACTGAAGGCAACAGATCATTCATTGCCTTTAGGCCTATACACACTCAGTAATATGGTACCCAAATGTGAAAGAATTGGTCAAATTAGGAAGAATCTAATGTATAAACAAATGTAATCTATAAGCTGTATAATGAATGCATGAATGTATTTCTACTAGAAGGTTCAAAATTTAAATCTTGGTGTAGAGTCAATAGTTTTTCTTGATGCTTTAAAATGAAGTGTGTTGTATGCTTAAAACATGGAACCTATATTATTGTTTTGTATAAATATCTAGTTAAAAGATATCACAGTATATATTAAAGAAATTTCATAATTAAAGAAATAGTTCTTCTTTATATTATCAGGTCAATTGGAAAGTCATTGTAGCAAAAAGACAAAACAAAAAAAAATTTGCAAAAATGTTTGTAGTGGCATTAGGGTAAAAATTTCTTAAACTGTTTTTTCAACTGGTATTTCAAAACATAACCTTCTGAAAGAGGTGTAACAAAACTATTCTGAGTCTGTAAACTACAAAAAGTTTGCAAAAATGTTAGTTAAAATCAATGAAAAAAGATACAGTCTGAGTTTCAATTCAGATACTCTGTAAAGCAGATTGTTGAAAATATGACAAAAGTTTATGGTGATAGTGGACCATCTGAGCATACTGTCAGAAATTGGTTCACTCAATTCAGGTCTAGAGACTATAGCTACACACTGGATGACCACAGGAGGATGATCTGATGAGGCAGCAGGCCATTGAGCATGTCTAGATCACACAGAAAAAGCTTCTGAACTGGGCTTTACTCAATCAACAATTTGCATGGGACTGAAGTAGCTAGGCATCAAGTACACAGGTGGAAAGTGGGTGCCATATATCCTCACTGAACAGAACAAAGCATGATGAATTTTCAAGTGTACATCACCTCTGAATCAGTACCAAAACTGCTGTTTCTTTGATTGCTTTTAAACTGTCACAGTAAATCCACTTCTTATCACAACAAGAAATAGATTTACTGTGTATGTTCTGGTATTGCCAAGGTATCATTTATCACCACTACATGCTATTGAGCAAAACAATTGACAGTTACACTTACTATGATATGCTCGATAACCTGGCTGCAAGGATTGTCAAAACTTACTTATCATTGGACTGAAAGGGAATTTTATTTCAAGATAATGCTAAACCACATATTAGTAAGAAGACAATCTGCTACCTACATCACTTGGCCTCGGAACTTGTCAATCACCCACCATATTCATTAGATCTTGCTCCATCAGACTTTTAATTTTTTCAGTGCTTACAAAATAATTTTTATGTGCATATGCTGTCTGGACAGCTATTAAAACAGAAGGTGAATGACTTCCAAGCAGTCATCTTTCTTCAAGCTGGGCATTCAAATGCTGGTTGAACACTGGTCTTGGATCATAGCTAACAGTGAGGAATATTATCCTAATTAAGTTTTTTTGTATTATCTTTCAGTAAAATCACCTTTTCTGCATCCTAATTTTCAGCAATGATGTTTTAATTTTCCTGATATACAGAATTTAACATTTAGAAAATTATCTACATAGATTTATAGTTCTATTTTTAGATATTTTTTTAATGATTAGTTTGGTTGACAAAATTGCTAGAAATATATAATCAACATCATATGAGGTGTAGTGTTGTGTATACAGTATTTTAGGTGATTATCAATTTGGGAAACTAATTCCAGCTAATGTTAGAAGATCATCATGTTCAAAATATCTACTATATAAAGCTGAAAAACTCGATTCTTTCTATCACTGTATGCCCAAAATAGCCACTAGGGGCGCCCCTAGCTATTATTTCAATTAACAATAAATTCAGTATATTATTATTTCATGTAGTTATTTTGCGTTTTTTGCTGCGTTTTAGTAGGGTACTCCATGAGAAATTCAGAATATTATTTTTATTTGTAATAGGAATTTATTATTTATACAATGGAATAACACCGCTGCTGCTAGAATGACCATTAGGGGGCGTCCCAGGCTACTAGAATAGAAGGATTGGAAGTATGAAATAATCTAATAATCTTAATCTTCATTGTTGTTTTCTGACCGGGCAATGCCAAGCTCATCTGCTGGTTATTAATAAAAACAAAAATATTATTAGCAAAAGCAACAATGAAATAATCTGTTTTTCTATTTAAAATTTTTCATTTTTAAAAATGTACATAATGATAAGTATAAAACTGCAGGAATATAATAATAATATAAATGAAAGTATCTAGTACTAATCTGAAAGTTGCCATTTATTCTTTGGATAACTAGAACAAACTGAATTTAAAAATAAATTAGAGATCTTAAATTATTTTGAAAGTTAAAGATACAACTTTATATCTGAGAATTGTTTTAATATAATGACTAGATAGCCTGTTTCCCACAGATTATAATATATAAAAATTTTTATTTTTATCATTAGTAGTTTTAGATAAAGTTCGTTAAATGTTGTATGTTGTTCAGTAATTAGCATTTTCTTCAAATGATCTCAGAACATTGAATATTGTTTATTAAAAGTCTACTTACCTTTGAGGTGAATTTTATATTCCTACTTTAAATACAAAATATTTCACTTCAGAAAATTTCTTTGAAATTACTGATATTAAGAGTTGCCATTTTTTATGAAATTTTTGTTGAGTTTGTGTGAAATGATTCAATGATTACATTAACAGAAAAGCATTGAAGAATGAAATTACCATTTTAAGAAACTATAGACTATTTATGTATTTAATAAATCATAAAATTAATTTATACTATGTACAGTGGGTGATCGGTTAATGAACATAATCCCTTCCAAGACTTTGTTCATTAACCGATTATCAATTTACTAAATTATTAATAGGTTTCTTTGGAATTTGATTAATTCGTTCTGGAGACCCCCAAAAAATAAAAAATATATACCGTATTTTGACGACTATAAGTCGCACTTTTTTACTACTTTTTGGGGCTCAAAATCATGGTGCGTCTTATACTCGACAGGTAACCATTTTTACAGTGAAATTATTTACAGTAGTGGTCCACTCTAGGGACCAACCTGTGCAGTGATCCGTTAAGCACATGGTCCCTCAACCGAATGGCTAGAGTACCTAGATTATCAGAATAGCGACACACGAGTCATCGCCGCCATGTTCTGTCGACTGTCATTGCATGACCTCTGAGTTTACATTAAGAAATGATGATTATTTCAGTTTAATAAAGATGTTGATTCACCCATCCGTCATATTCTTGAATAAAAAACAAATAAAATGCATCTTTTTAATAAAAAAAAAAAATGAATAAAATGCATCCGTCACATTCTTGAATAAAAAAACGAATACAATGCAATCTCCCATTAAAAAAGTTTTTTCTAACTTTTCTGTCTCAAAATAGGGGTGCGTCTTATACTCGGCAGCGACTTATACTCGTCAAAATACGGTACTTTCTTACTATGTTTATTCATATGTGATAATAAAAATACATATATATATGGTCTTGCATTTTTATAAGTCATGTTATTTCTGTTTGGGGGGGTTAAAGAATCTGTCTAATGTTGATTACTTTTCTCTCTTCTTCATGATTTTTCAGAAGTAAATAATAGCAATGTAATTGTAGAGATCCCTAGGCCTATTAACCTCAACCTGGTTTGAATGCCATTTTAAGACCGTTGTTCTGACATCCTCCCACTTCAAAAGATCTTTAATAGCAGATATCGGCATAAATCCGCTTTTTCAGAAGAAAATGTAAAAGAATTATTTCTATCAGAAATATAAAAGGCTGGAATTACAAGGGAGAGTTTCAAAGTTCAGGGGAATACTATTCGATCAATATTTACTGGGTAGAATGTTGATGTCAACATCTCCCGTGCTCTGAAAAGTTTTGAATTGTTGCCTGAAGACAAAAGACCAATTGGTATTCGTTATTTTACATTGCTTCTTCTTGTGTTTGTTTAGTGAAGTGTTTGTTATTCAAACATGTGTTCATTGTCTGATCATAAAAATCTTTTGTGAAAGTGTTCGTTATCTGATTTGTTCGTTAACTGATCATCCACTGTATTTAATAATCAGCAATTTTTATAATAAGAAAATTCATAATTGTTAATTATTATAATCATGATATTTCTATTAATTATTTGATAAAATTGTTTTTATTTTTTAATTACTTTACACAGTATTTTTATATAAGCATCTATATAAATTTGTGTTTGTAATGATAAATTTATTTATTTAGGTAATGTTATTACAGCAAGCAGATTTATTGCCAAGTCCTTATCAACGTCTTACAGCCATATTTCTTTTGTATGAAATGTATCGTACAGAACCAATTACTGCAAATCCTTTTGCCTCAGTTTTTGTACATTTATTGGTAAGTTGTTTCAGTCTGTTCATGTTCATAAAACTTAATATTATTTTTACAATATATATTTTTGTTTCTCAGATGCAGATGTTTCTATCTAATTTGAATTGCTTTTTCTGTAATTCTGTAATTTTCTTTTTATTTTTAAAAAATTAAAATTTCCATTTTAATAATACATATATAGTACAGCAGTGTGTATATATTTATTATTGCTTCAGATTCAGAGTATTCTAACTACATTTCGTGTAATTTTGAATTTGATGAAATTTTTTTAGGTACTGGGAAAGGTGGTACTGGATAAAATGAATGACTACAGAGTTATTTCTACATAGTCCACTAACATTTTAAGTAACTTTTCATCACAATTTGACTTAAAATATGAAATTGGAAAGTGAATGGATCATGTATCATTCACTTGCTTAGAAATTTTGGAATATACAGATAGCTAGATTTACTTGTGTATGGTGCAGGACTGCTAACTTAAACTAGCCCATTTTCAGATAATGGAAGCATTTAAAATACACAGATAAGTGAGAAAGTACTCAGTAGATCCAGTAAGTTTTAATCTTGCCAGAATTTCTTACAACACACTTATGAACTATAGATAGGTAATATTAATAACAGTATCAGATCAATAATCAGTGCCAGCTACAAATATTTTCAGAGTGAAGTTATAGCTTCAATGGCACTAGGTAACTGGCACTTGGATTCTTACATATTATGAAATAAGATGACCTTGTAAAATATGGTTAATAGCAATAAACATGACTGTTCTTTGAAAAATTATAGGATTTTTTACAAAAGTGTGAATTCATTGCTTCATTCTTCAGCCATAGTTCAGCCATAATTGTATTAAACTTTAATATTGCTATTAAATTTCAAGTATGATGAAATTAATTAATTGTGTGTCATTTTCTGTATATGTAAATTTTATATGAAAAATATTTTTAGGGATCAGATTTTCTTTGACGTATTTAAATTTATTTCATAATNTTTTCTGTAATTCTGTAATTTTCTTTTTATTTTTAAAAAATTAAAATTTCCATTTTAATAATACATATATAGTACAGCAGTGTGTATATATTTATTATTGCTTCAGATTCAGAGTATTTTAACTACATTTCGTGTAATTTTGAATTTGATGAAATTTTTTTAGGTACTGGGAAAGGTGGTACTGGATAAAATGAATGACTACAGAGTTATTTCTACATAGTCCACTAACATTTTAAGTAACTTTTCATCACAATTTGACTTAAAATATGAAATTGGAAAGTGAATGGATCATGTATCATTCACTTGCTTAGAAATTTTGGAATATACAGATAGCTAGATTTACTTGTGTATGGTGCAGGACTGCTAACTTAAACTAGCCCATTTTCAGATAATGGAAGCATTTAAAATACACAGATAAGTGAGAAAGTACTCAGTAGATCCAGTAAGTTTTAATCTTGCCAGAATTTCTTACAACACACTTATGAACTATAGATAGGTAATATTAATAACAGTATCAGATCAATAATCAGTGCCAGCTGCAAATATTTTCAGAGTGAAGTTATAGCTTCAATGGCACTAGGTAACTGGCACTTGGATTCTTACATATTATGAAATAAGATGACCTTGTAAAATATGGTTAATAGCAATAAACATGACTGTTCTTTGAAAAATTATAGGATTTTTTACAAAAGTGTGAATTCATTGCTTCATTCTTCAGCCATAGTTCAGCCATAATTGTATTAAACTTTAATATTGCTATTAAATTTCAAGTATGATGAAATTAATTAATTGTGTGTCATTTTCTGTATATGTAAATTTTATATGAAAAATATTTTTAGGGATCAGATTTTCTTTGACGTATTTAAATTTATTTCATAATTAATTTTATTATTTATGCAATGTATTTTAGTGATGTTGAATTTATATTTTTTTAGAACCCTCCTGAAGAAACTATGAAGGGAATAAATAAGAAGTTAGAATTTATTGGTGCTCTTCCTAAACTCAATAAAGCTGAAAAATATTTTATTTCCCAGTTAATTTCTATGCCACCAAAAGAGGTAAATGAAATACAAAATATTATTATTATTATTATTTTACTGTTTTGATTATATATTAAAATATTTTCTAGTTATTCAAAAAAACTCCAAAACATATTGTGAACATGGATGCAGCTATGTTGCAAGTAATAATTTTTTTTTATATTAAACAAAATTAATTAAATATTTATTTTATTTGTAAATTTTAAAAATAAACTATTATAATTTTATTTTTTCCATGATATACATGTATAATGTTTTTCTTGTGTGATTTTTTTATTCAATTCTTATTTTATTTTAATTTTAATTATTTTATTCTTATTATAGATGTAATTAATTGAAAATTTTAGTTCATAAATCTCTAATGTTAATAGATTAAGTAGTTTACTTGACACATCAATACTGTTTATATTTACTTTAACATTTTCAGGTTAGCAATCAATCTAGCTTCAAAAATATGTGAAATCAAATACCAGAATAGAAAAATTATGCAGTGATTCTAATTTTGAATAAATGTTCTGCTTTATTATTATAATTGTATTGAGCATCATGTATTTCTGAATAATCAAAGAGAACAGAACAGTTATGAAAATAAGTTCCTATATAAATGTATTGGTATGATTTCATTAATGGTTTATGCTTTACAAGGAATTAAATTAAGGTCAAAATTGCCTTACTTGATATCAATTAATCATGACTATAAATTAATTTGAATTTATGATTTATACATAAATTCTTAATATATTATAATCTATATTTATATATTTATCATTTATAATCTATATTTGCTTTACTACTAATTTTATTTACTCTGATGTAAATAAAATTAGTAGTAAAGCAAATATTAGTTGAAATTGGTATGCAGATAGTTTTTAATAAAAAAAACTTGTTTCATTATTAGTTCACATGGTAATTCAATTTTTAAATTATCTCATGTTAAATGAAGTATTTTTTGCATATTTTGATAGTTTGTTTGAGATTATTTTTTGAGTTTTAAAAAGAGAATTAATAATATAATTTTGTATGAAAATTGACAATCATAAATTTCACTTACTGCTCTCATGTCAAGCATTCAAAAATACAAAATAAGATTTGAAATATTTTATCATAATTAAATTACATAATATATCTAAATTGTTATCAGGGGGAAAAAATATAATATTTTAGAAGTTATTAAACTTCTAAAATATTTTCACATCTTTGGATCTTGCTAAGAACATAAATGTGATATAAAATTGTAACTGTTTTAGATGGATTTAGTAATCTGAAACTGTGAGGATTATTTACTTTTCAAAGCCTAATAATTTTATTTTCATTCTTTAAAGTTTTGTTTAAGAAATTTTCAACAGAAAATACTGTAAGTAATTTACTTTTACAGATACATATGTTCAAATTTTGTAATTGTTGAAGATAAGAAATTTGTTTCTGTAAAGATAATTATTTGAAATAATATAAGTTTTCAGGTACTTGCAACAATTTATTTTTAAAAAAATCAAATTTATTTTGTAAAAATGAATATTTATAATTAATAATAATAACTTTACAAAATATTTATCATTTGAAAAAAATTAAACCAATAAAAATTTTTTAAGATAATTGCCAAAAAGCATAAGGTGGTCCTCTACTTTCGTACAATTTGCTATTTTGTACTTTCGGTTTTTATCAATATATATATATGACAAAATGCACATACTTTCATGTAATGATTCACCCCTTCTCATGAACTATTAGTCACTAATTCCTCTCTGACATTAATGACATCCATTTTCGGCATCACATGTTTAGTCTTGAGCAGGGACATCTTGAGTTAGTGCTTGTGTTGATAAGTTGTATTTTGTCAGTTTATGTTAGGATGTCTGCTATCACTTTATGCACATTTTTGTTTTGGTGTAAAAATTTGCCGTTATTAAGTCATAAACATGAGTGAAATCGAAAAATAGCAGTATTGATACTGACAAAAAGAAATCAAGGTTTTATAATCTCAATATGATCAAGAGCATATATCTCATGTATGAAGGGCAATAGAAAAAGACAAAGCATGTTACAGAATTCTTTATCAAGAAAAGAAAAAGAAGAGTACAATTCAATCATCTCTTGGCAAATTTAAAAAGAAAACACCAGATACTAACCAATAAAAAAATAAATATTTTGAAAACCCTTTTTGGTGTTTTTCTTATATTGCCTACTTTTCTGCATTTCAACTTTCATACACATTTTAGGAACCAGTTAGGTATGAAAGTAGAGGACCATTTTATTATTTTCAGAAAAAAGATGAAAAGTGATTTTGATCATTAAAAAGTTAGTGATAAAATATTGTTTACATATTGAAAACACTTTAAATTAAAATTGAAAAATAATATTATACGTTGGTTCAGAATATTTTTTTTCATGTTATAAAGCTGCTTAGCATAACTGAAATATGAAAAAAATTAATCACATTATAAGACAGATAGTTATGTACTAAGCTATCCTCAAACTCACAACAAACTATAAAATTCTAGTAAAACTTTGTTTAATTACCAATATTCTTAACCTTGTTCAAAGATCATTATCAGGCTGCATAATTGTTAACTTTATTATCCTTTTCATTTTTATCTTTATTTCATAACCTTAGTACACTTTAAAATATTCTACTTGCTTTACTACTAAGTAAAGCTTAGTATCCTGTATTATCCAATATTTTTCAAATTTTTGTCATTTCTTTTACAAAAAGCCATTTAAAAGTTTTAAAATTCAATACATTGTAGCTTGATGATCTTTGAACAAGGTTGAAAATGTTAAAATTCCAACAAAACTTTGCTTAATTACTTAAGTTTGTAGTGAGTTTGACTTTATGATTACTTGTTTATGCTATTACTGTATCATTTACTAAGCCATCCTACTGTTTCTGAAGGATTAAGTTTGAATTTGATTGAATCCTTACAGGAGTTTGGATGAGGACAATACTCCCATCTCTCATCCATGAGATGTTATATAAACTGTTATATGTACTGTTAGTTTGCAAATCACTTAGTTTAACAGAACATAATTTTTTTTTAATCAGTGTAAGATAAATATTTTATTTTATGTCTATTATGTATATTCAATTATTTAGTTTAAAATAATTATATAATAATAGAAATTAGACTTTCTAAAATATATTTCACAAAAATTGATTTTACGTATGTATTTTGTACTTTTCATTTACCCATTTTGTATAAATATTTTAAAGTTTTAAGTAAATAATAATGATTTATATTTATTTATTTTTTAATTTTAGAATTATGATATTAGTGGCTTGCAAGTGTCATTAGCTGAACAACATTCTGAAATGCCTCAGACTAGTAAATCAGCTATACCAATTGTGATACCTGATCCTGTTGATATAAATAATCCAGGGTAAAATTTGAATTGCATTTTATATTATTGAAATGTTTAAGTAAAAATAAAATAATTATATATAATTTCTTTCTATTTTAGGAAATATACTCCTCTCTCTTATGTAATTGAACAAAAATGTTCAAATAAATCAGATTTATTGGACATAGTTGATGCATTACATAGCCATGAAAATAATAATAGTAGTAATAACAATAATAATAAAAATAAATTTACTTATGATTCTACTGATACTTCCAAAATTATGGAAGCTTTGTTGATAGGTCAACAATCGCCAGTTGAGCAATACTTTAGACCTGAATTTATTCGTCTTGCTCCTCCTCTTTATACTTGTGAAGATGAGGTAAGCTCAGTTTTTTATTATTATTATTATTATTATTATTATTATTATTATTATGATTATTTGCATTATTTCAATCTTAAGTTGTCATAATTTAATTTTCTGTATTACTAGTGACAGTTTTCTGAAACCATTTTCTTAAAATGAGTTTGTGTTTTTTATAAGGGAGTAACAAAATTAAAATTTATATATTTTGTAATATTTGTTGTTTTGAAATCATGTACTAAAATTTTTTAAGAGTGTTAAACACAAGATTATATTAATAATCAATCACATGGCTTCTTTTCCATCTTTAGTTAATTGATACGGTATTTCTACACATTTCAGGCTTTTGGTGCCTCACATGTAGAAAAGCCATATCAATTAAATAAAGATGGAAAAGAAGCCACGTGATTGATTATTAACAAGATCATGTGTTTAACACTCTTAAAAAAAAATATTTTGTAATAATTTTAAACCTATATAATTTTAATGTTTAGAAATATTATTTCTTCTGCTCACATAGTTAATTAATTTAACTTGGATATTAACTATAGCTCTTTATCACCTTATTAATCCTCAGTATTTCTGCAAACAAATGTTTATTATTCTTCAATTTGAATCATTGTAATAATAAAATGATATATATAATAGTTTTGTCATTATACAAAATTAACTTTAAAAAAATAATGAGCAAGCTATTTACAAAACATTAAAACATTTCAAATTTGAATCTGTTCTTAAATGACAACATAAAGACAGACATTAATGTTCTGAAAAATTTTGTTAATAAATTTCAAATATCATTTTATAAGTATATAAAAGACTTCTATAATATTTTATTGAAATATCAAATGTAAACAAAAAATGAGCTAATAAGCAATTAAAGCAATTAAAATTTGTAATTTAAATTTGACATTGTTTACATTTTAAAAAGAGCTATTTCTGAAATGCTGAATAAAACATTTTATTTTTCACAATATCATCTAGATCAGTGTTTTCCAACCTTTTAGGATTAGTGACACACTTTGAACTTAATAAGATTCCTGCATCACATCGTAATTTTTAATATAAATTATGGTTGATTCATCTATAAAAAGAAACAGTGACAATCTTAAGGGCTAAAGTTCGAAAGCAATGACAACAACACTTAGTTGATAGAAAAGTTAGTGCAATTCTGTACTTTCTTGTCCTATCAGTTTTCATGAAAGTAAACCTGAGAGAAAAGCACAAAATAATTTGAAAATTTCAATATTCGAAAATCCATGGGCAAATTTGAGACAACATGAATGCATAGTTGAATTTTAAAAAATTATTGAATAATGAAGTTTACATTTAAAAACTGTGAAACTTGGTTTTGGAAATCCTCTGTACAATGTTAGAGTTAAACCAGAAGTCATGTTGTATGGGAATATTCCTAATTTTCAAATCATGTTGTAGAAGTACCATGTTGTATGAAGGATATCTGTATTTGGATTAGAGATTTTATCGTTCTGTTTAATGTAATTGCATTAAAATTATGCAATTACAATATTTATGAATCTACAATATCTTATGAATCTATAGAATATTTAATCTGTATTATTAAAATTTTATAATTTTTCATTTTATTTTAGTTAGCCTGGATGAATCCTACAGAACCAGGTGAACATAAAGTGGCATGGGATATGTCTATGTGCGTTAGCAATACAGCAGGAGTGGAAGCTAAAAAATTAATGGCTAAAGCATTTAAAGGACCTTTAACCATTCAACAACAACAACAGTTATTATCAGAATTAGAGCAAGATTCTAAATTAGTATATCATATTGGATTGACTCCAACAAAGGTTAAATATATACATTATAAATTTTTATTGTATTGAATATTATCATTTCTGCTCTCAAAAACAGGCACATATAATAATGTCAAATTGAAATCAGTTATTATTATAGACATAAGAAAAATATTCTAGAATAATAGTAAAATATAATTTTAGTAATATAATACAATTATTTAAAGTTTTTCATTTATAACTAGTATTATATAAATTTATCTTTAATCATTGATTTAGTTTGAAGTTTTAGGAACTCAAAAACAAGCAGAATTGTTGGGCTACAATTAGATATGATAAAAGTTGTTCAAATCAAAAATCTGTATTTAACATTTTTTATTTACATTTTTATTGAAAACCCATAGTATGCATTTTATAAGTGCTTTTGTATAAAATGCTGTTTCATGTAGTGATTGCAAATATTTTTCTTACTTTACAAATGAAAAAACAAATAAGAATTTTTTAAAGTATTATTGTTAGTTTTTAAAATATAATTAAAAGATTACAATTAATAAATTAATCCCATACTAATAAAATTCTAAAAATTTTCAGCTTCCTGATTTAGTGGAAAATAATCCATTAATTGCAATTGAAGTTCTGTTAAAATTGATGCAATCAAGTCAGATTACTGAGTAAGGCAATTTTTTGATATTTATAATTCTCAAATAAATGTAAAAGTAATATTCAAAGTAACAAATAAAATTCTGCTTAATTGAAAAATTGCAGTTATTTTAATTATAGTCTAAATTCTCAATGAAGCAAAACACTATTATAGAACTCATAAAAGTTATACTTGATATTCAGAAATTGTGTAATGAATTAAAATAAAAATTTTTTAAACATTTTTCAATTGAAAATTTTTTCTTTTAGTTTGTATATACTCTCTAAGTACTTCAATATATTTAAAAGCATAATTTTTCTTTGAGTGAAATATGATTTACAGAAATATTCTATTTATAAATTTAAACAATATTTTGTGTGTGCTGTGATTTTATTTTTTAACTAAAACAGGAACTATTATGAATGAAAGTTTCTTATATCTAAAGTTTGCTATATTATACTATATGAAACAAATATTTTTGAACATTCAGGCCTTCAGGAGAGTTATGAAACAGGCATGCTTTATAATATTTTACAACAAATTTCTGATTTGCATCAGAAAATTAAAGTAAAAAAAATTAAATGCTGCTGTATACAGTATTCTTAAAAAGAAACAAATTAATTTATATAAATAAATGCTGCTAATATAAAGCTGCATAAAAACTTTTATCATTTTATAGCCATAACCTATTATTAAATCATATAACAATTACAAAAATAAAAGAATGATAAAATATATTATTAATATATTTATTATTTGATATCATTAGTTAAAGTACATATAAAATGGAAAAGAAGCATTGTTAATTAACAAACTTGATGTGAAAATAACACAAACAAAAATATCTGGAATTTTTTTAATATTAAATTTTCTTAACTGTTTATATTTTTTGAGATTTTTGCATTTCTGGTTTTGCATTATTCTAAGAATAATAGGAATAAATTCTGAAAACTCTAGTAATTTTGTTGTCTTGTTTGTATGTAAAATGATATTTATTAAAGAAATTTATTAATACTTTTAATTGATTCATTCTTTTCTTTATTTACTATTATTTTGTTGCTTTTATTTACAAATTATATCAAAAAATAATCACTTTTATATATATCATCTGTTAATGAGTTTGATAAAAAAAAAAATGCATCAAAGTTGTTTTCTTGAATCAACAGCTGTTTCTGAAATATTCCTTCTACAGTTCTATAAATGCTTATATAAAAGTTTTTGCTCTTAAAATGGATTAATTTTTTATTTTCTTTCTTTTTTGGTGATGATGATGTGAAATTGTTTAATATACAGTGTGTTCAAAAAGTTATTATACAGGGAGAAATTTGTAATGACATTAAATTTAATAGTACATATTGCACACTGGACCTGTATGTTGTGTGCAATACCATACAGTCAACTGGTACCAAATAATCAAGTTACAAGTCTCATATGCAGGTCTGATCAGAGGATGGTGTGAACAGTACAACCACCCATAATCCTTCATGATCCAACTCTTGCAAAATTTTAAAATTAATCATTTCATTATTCACTAATTTAACTAATTTCCATTGATCTATTTAACAGATGGTATGTTTACCATTAAAATATTTTTTGTTGTTTGAAACTGATTTATTATTATTATTATGTGTTAAGTTTAGTGGGTTATACTCGGTACACACTGGTGGCAGTGTACTATGCTGGACCAGAGTCAAGGCATAGCAACCAAAACAAAACTAAAATTAAATGTGTGTGTCAGTGTCAGTGTCTGTATTAAGGAATTTCCTAACAATATGGCATGTATTCAATATAGTGGCCTTCTGTAGTGTGATGTATGTATTTCTACTCAATTCTAATGTTCCCAGGCTTTTGTGTAGCATGTGTGGTATCACACCTGTACAGGAGAGAACAACAGGTACAATAAGCACCCTATCCATCCTCCACAGATGCCTTATTTCCTGGGCGAGTTCTGTGTACTTGCTAATTTTTTCAGTGCATGTGTTTTGTACATTGTGAGTGTTTGGAATGGCTATGTCTATAATGTATGTGATTTTATTGTGTTTGTCAATGAGTGTGATGTCTGGTCTGTTGTGGTAAATTGTTTTATCTGTGATTATGGCTCTGTCGTAGTACATTTTGTGCGTGTTGTTTTCCAATACTGTCTGTGGAATATACTTGTAGTATGGTTCGTGAATGTCTACCAGTTTGTGTTTCTTTGCAAGCTCTTGGTGTATTATATTTGCTACTTGATTGTGTCTATGTAAATAATCTGTCTGTGCAAAGAGCTTGCACCCAGAAGTGATGTGTTGTATAGTTTCTGGCATGATGTGACATTTTCTGCACGTGTCATTTGTGAGTGTTGTATCTTTGAGTATGTGTTTTCTGTAGTTTTTAGTATTTATGACCTGATCCTGTATGGCAATCATGAATCCTTCGTCTCCCCAAAGAGGCATCCCCGATCTAACCAGCTGTTTGACGCAGTTTTGTCAACAAAATCCTGGGCCAGGTCATAAGGATGCCTGCCATGGAGAGCCTTTTGAGCCCATGATTGCTTAATGTTGTCTATGCTTTTTATATGTTGTGTCATGTCTGTATGTTGTGAGTGTAAGTTTAATGGTGTGTTATTTGAGTCTGCTAGAGTTACTGCTTTATGTAACTGTGATGTTTCTTGTTTCTTGTAGAAAAACTCTCGCAGTGACTGTATTTGTTTGTAGTGAAGGTTAACTATGTCAATCAGGCCACGTCCGCCTTCTTTACGTGGAAGGGTTAATCTTTCTGTGGCGGATTTAGGATGATGTTGTTTATGCTTAGTAAGTGTTGTTCTTGTTTTCCTTTGGAGTTGCTCGAGATCTGTGTGAGTCCAATGTATAACTCCAAAAGAGTATGTGAGTACTGGGATGACATATGTGTTTATTGCTTTAACTGTGTGTTTTGCATTTAACTGTGTTCTAAGTATAGCATTTAACCTACTTTGGTATTCTTTAATTAATCGTTGCTTTATTTGTGTGTGTTCTGTTAGTTTGGCCTGTTGAAATCCTAAGTACTTGTAGAACTCGCCCTCTTCCATGGATTCAATAACCTCTCCATTTCCAAGTGCATTATTATTATTATTATTATTATTATTAAAAGGCACACGTGACTGATTTGCACCAGGCCCAGCTTTTCCTCGGGCTGGCCCTACTTATACGCAATACCATATATATAACTTTAATGTTATTACAAATTTCTCATTGCATAGTAACTTTTTTGATACTCTGTATCTGTATCAACTAAAACGATAAAAATTTAGAATGGAAAATTTGACTCTTAATTAGTATTGAAATTTTAGCAATTACAATTATCATAAATTTTTCTATTACTATTACTGTATCTATTAAACTGCTATAAAATATTTTCCAAAATGTTATCAAATTCATTTATAAGGAAACAAAAAATATTCCAATTAATTTTTATCAAATATTTCAATTGTATGAACTCTGAAATATTTGCTCTAAAAGTTTTTTGAAAACTAATATTGAACTCCTTTTTTATATGACAATATATTGAATAATATATTCTGTTCTTTTAATAATCAGGAAATGTTTGTTCTAACAATACAACAATTATGAATGTAAATTTTTTAGATTCATATATAAAAGTATCTTCAAAAAATTTCCACAACCTATAGAAAAAGTTTTCAAACATAATAGAAAAAAATGAAATGAAAATTCTTTAGTATTTTGTTGGCCTTCTTTGTCCTTAGTAACAGCTTTGATACAGCATGGCACTGATTTAACAAGTTCTGAGCAATAGTCATCATTAATTTCCTTCCAACTCTGCAACAAAGCGGTTTTCAATTTTTCCTTTGTTGTAGGTTGTTTTTCATCGATTAACATTTTCAGTTTAGCCCACAAATTTCAATAACATTTAAATAGGGTTGTTTGATGGCAAGGTAAAATTTAACACTTCTCCTTTTCAAAAATTCTTTTACGTTTTTCTTACAACTTGCATTATCATCCTGAAAAACATCTTCCTCATCCCCAAATTGATTTTCATCACATGAATCATGTGTTCAAAATGTCTTCATAGACTTTGCCATACAGTTTATTTTAGAATACACAGTTCGCACCTTGTCTTTTGCTAACATACAACTTCTTATCATAAGACCAACTGAGAATTTCTTCTTAAGCAAAAGGCATTCTTGTTGTAACTTTTAATCTGTTCTGCATCATACAAATTGCCCAGCATTGTCTCCACATCCAACACAGTCTGCTTTCATTTGAAAAAAAAACTTTCTCCTAATCATTAATGGTCCACATTTTGTAAAGGCTTGTTCATTCCATTCATTTTTTCATGTGTTGTTTCATCACAGATAGTTTTTTCACTTTACAAAATGTATAGCTCATTTCATTTAAACAGTTTCAAACTGTACAATTTCAAACATTTGCATGGTGAACTTTCTAATTAATATCTAATCCTTTTGATGTGGTTTTTCAATTTTCTAAGCAGATGCATCTTAACCTATCCAATGTTTAAATTCTTCTAAAAACAAAACAATTACAGCAAAATTCTTCTCTGTTGCCTGTCACAGGCAACAGAGAAGAATTTCACCATGTTGAATTTCTCTTGATGTTAAGCCTAACGAAAATTACATGATTTTTTTAAAAAAGTAATTGTGGCTATTTTATTGTCCAAAATTATTTTTTTATTGGGTTGTTTGGAAAGTAATTTCGTTTTTTCTCCTTGGGAAAAAAACACAATATTTTTATAATAAATAAATATTTTATTGAATTATATATCAACTATTTTGGTCAAATACCTGTTGTCATCGTTTCTAGCATGATTATGAATAGTAGCATGATTTCACATTCATAAAAGTTTTGATCGTTGCTTACAAAAACTGATCAAAGTGATTTTTGACATTGTCATTTCAAGTAAATGTCTTACAGTTAAAAAAAAATTGTATAGATTGGAACAAGTAATAATCTGAGTGTGCTCGATCTGGCAAATATGGTCGGTGCAATAGCATGTCCCATCTAAGTTATAATAACAGTTTCTGACGAGTTACCAAACTTGTGTGAAATTTGACATTATCGTGGTAAAACACTGTTTTGTTCAACAACATGTTTTGTTGATCAATTCTGGCCACCTTTTCTGTTTGATGATATTACTAAATTTGTTTACTCGATGGCAGTACACTTTCGAATCAATTGTTAAATTGTCTGGTAAAAGCTCCAAAAAAAAATTTCCTTAAAATCCCACCAAAGAGAGCATCTCTCTTTAAGAACATGTGAAACCCATATATCAAGCTTTGAAACGAAACCAATTTGTTTCAAGTAATCATAAACAGTTCAGTTTGACAAATTTAATCTCTTAATGATTTCAGGCGTTGTTATTTGGCAGTTTTCTTCAATCAGTGCCTTTATTTTGTTTTTATTGGCTTCATCTGGCCATCCAGAATGTGGTGCATCTTCAATATTGAAATTGCCAGAATGAAATTTTGTAAACCAGTTTTGGCACTGTCGTTCTGTCAATACATCTTCTCCATACACGTCACACAATTTTTTTCTTGCTTGAATAGTATTCTTACCTTTTTGATAATAAAAGAGCAAAATATGCCGAAAATGCTGCTTTCGCTCTTCCATATTTGGAGACACAAAAAATAAACAATTGCACAAAATATAACAAAATTTTTTGCAAATAAGTCTTAAAATGCTTGCTGTCAAAATATATAATGATAATATGGTTTAGAATTAAAATGGTGGGAAAAATACGACTAATCTGTCTAGTGGTAAAAAAACAAAATTACTTTCCGAACAACTCAATATTTTTCACAAACAAAATAGATATACTAATAAATATAAAAACAAAAAAAATTATATTTTGGAAGTTAGTTTTAATATAAAAATTATATCAACAAGTGACATCTAGTTCCAAAAACGTACCAATACTGTAATGAGATATCTCAGGTCAATCAGTCGAGGTCAGAGGTCATGACCTTGAGATATGTTGGGGGATTAACACGGGATAGATTAATGTGCAACCTTGATTCTTGTTCGTTGCTTTTGGTTGGCCAATTCTCTTCAATATTTTTACTTTCAGATTTTTCATATTTTTTCCATGTGTAATTTATTATTGAAACAGCACAATCAAACTATTGAGAAACTTCTCTCTCAGTTTTTCCTTTGAAAATCAAAGTCACAATTTGTTTTCTCATTGTACTTTTTAATAGGACCCATTTTAAAGCAATGTAAAATGATAATGGAAATAGATACATGCACTACTTTCAGACAACTAATTTGAATAAACCAATGTGATTATCATTACAGAGAATGTTTTAACACATTTATTTCTAATTTGTTTGAAAACTTTTTTGCAAGATGTAAATGTTCAAAAGTTTTTTGAGACTAGGATTTGGACAAGATTTTCTTTTTTTATATTCCAAATTATTTTTCCAGGGTGATTTTGCATAATAAAAACTCTTATCATTAGAAATAAATTCCAGGATTTTTATTACTCTAAGATTTGTTAACAAATAAAAAAATTTGCATACAAAAGTCTAAATATCAGAATTCTGTAATATATCCAGTTTTGAATCCTTTTTAAAACATTGTAATAGTTTAATTATATAAAAATAATTTTTTATAAGAAAATATTAATTGAAAAACTTTAAGCAACACACAACCATTTTCAAAGCATTTTAATTTTATACATTTATTCAATTTTAATAAACAAACTTTTGCTATATTTCACTAATAAAATTTATTCACATTAATAAATGTTATGAATTAAGTATTTTTATATTATAATTTGTTGGATTTGTTTTCAAAATAATTTTTAAAAATGTTTTTTAATTTAGGTACTTTTCAGTATTAGTAAATATGGAAATGTCTTTACATTCAATGGAAGTTGTGAATAGGTTGACAACAGTAAGTATTAATGATATTTTTATTAATTAAATTTATAATTGAGTTAATAAAAGTAAAATTTATTAATTTTATTTATATTAACTTAATTATTAGATATTAATTAGTATATGAATAAAATTTATACACTAAAAGTTTAAGCTGATATCCAATAATCCAGAATTGTCAATAATGACCTTTCATGTTCCAGTATTTCACAAATCAGAATTTGTTTGGCCACATGATGCACTAAGGGTCCCATATGGAAATCAAAGCAAATGCAAGGGCCCATCCATCTCAATCTCATGGATTGAGAGAAAGTACTCATTTGTTAACAGTATCTCTTTATGTGTTTGGTCATGCTTTCACTGTGCTTTCCTGTGCCTATTATGTACATCACAATTGCCACACAAATTGGTGGAAACATTTTGGTAATTTATGTATACAGTAGAGTTCTGCTAGTCCAAACTAATTGGGACTGAGCCCTGTTCAGATTAGCCAAATAATTGAAATAATGCAGAAGTAAGCAGTAAAACAGGTCTGGTTTATATAGATCAAACAACACCAATGACATCAGTGCCCACCCTTTATTTCATCTGACTTGTACTAATAGAGGGTGCAAACAGTTAACAAAAACAAGTTTTGTAATTTTGAAATTGCAACCTGCCTTCATTATTTACGTTAAAATTATTTTAACTGTAAAAAACTTTGTTGTTAATATACAGTCTAGGATTCCAATCAGTTGACTGATGCTATTGTGTGAGTTAGCACACCTAATTGTGGATGTTGAATCTACTCTTCGCTCCACAATATTTTAGTTTAGTTTAGATGCTACAATGGCCATGAAACAGAAACACACAACGTGTACATTGAAAGATAAGCTGGACAAGAGTGAAAGTGCAACAAAATTGGCAGTAAAATTTGGAGTGGGCAAGGCCACAATAACTGACTGGAAAAAACTGCACAAAGATCAAGCAGTTTTGTGCTTCTACTTCAGAAAAATCAGTTGAAAGTTGACACATAGCAAGACCCACAACATTTGACAAGCTTGATGAAGCCTTATTCACGTGGTTTGCTCATGAAAGAGATAGGGAAACACCCCTAAGTGGACCTCTTTGTTAGAGAAAATTTCCTCTCCAACAACAGAAACATGTTCAGATTAGTGGTGTTCAGACTAACAGGACTCTACTGTGCTTTTTAATTATAGGAAAGAAAGATTTTAATCTGAAAATCTCAAGAATATGTTATTTCCCCAATTGTAAGATGCACTATTTTAACCTATTTTTACTTGTCAAAGAAGAGATTCTTCGTAGAATCAATGACATTTCACATTCACGGCCCAAAATAACAATTAATAGTTATTGCAGACATGTGATGCATTTTGTATTATTAATGTTTTTGGCCAAATTGATCAGCATTCACATCATTTTAAATGAGATTTTCTGGTAATGGGGGTTTAAACTAAACTTCTTGTTAATGTTTAAAATATATTCAAGAGAACTAATAGATTATGATGCAGCATTAAAATGAATAGTTATTTAAGTTAATTCTGCATCAGAACATGGAAATAAAATTGCTAAACATTATCTATTTTATTGTATTGTTTTTCTAACTTGTTACTTAAGAAAACTGAGTAAAATGGATTATTTAAAAATTATTTTCTTTTACAGAAAAATTTTAAAAATGCTGTTTTTTTATAATATATTTCAGCACATATTAATATTTAATATTCATATATTTATAATTACTAATAGTGAAATATTGTAAATTAATATATAATTATTAATCTTATAAAATATATTAATAAAAATACAGGAAAAAATATGAAAATTAAATATCAATTAAATCTTTTTAGGCTGTTGATCTACCTACAGAATTTGTACATTTATATATATCTAATTGTATTTCAACATGTGAAACTATCAAAGATCGTTACATGCAAAATCGTTTAGTACGATTAGTTTGTGTTTTTCTACAATCACTAATTCGTAATAAAATTATAAATGTTCAGGTTTGTATTGCTGCTTTCTTCTATATAAATAATGTAAATAAGTTTAAAATATATTATTTTAATACAACAATTTTTAATTAAACTTTATCATTTTTATTATACTATTTAAGTAAAAATATTTTTGTAATGTTTTTTAATGAAAAATTTTTCGTATTTAAAATTATTTTGAATACAAGTTAATAATCTGGAAACTGGTTTATGGACAGTCATTTATGCAGTCTATGTAACAACCTGTTTCTGAAAATACCGATTTTTCTCCATTGACTTCAATGAAAACATTCAGCGATTAAACAGTCAACTGATATGGTCAGAAATCAGCAATTCATTACATATTTTAAGTTATACAATAATTTAATGGTTAATTAATATAAAGAGAAAATTTAAAAGATTTCTAAAATATTGAAAGACTATGGATAATTCAGCATGTCAAGGAAACAAAAACAATTACAACCAGAAGTTCTTATTTCAGACATATAAAAATTTACTGTTAAATTTTAATGTATAATAGCAAGTTTTTTATTGATTTAAAATGCTATATAATTAAATAATAAATTTAATTAATTTTTTAAAATATCAACATGAAAAAAATCTGTTTTTGATTATTAACATATATCTCTCCCACACAATTTTTGTAGAAATTTATTGCTGCATTGTTTATGAACTTGAAAAATATTCAAACGTGTTTAAAATAATAATTAAATTTAATTAAAATATAAAATTTGATTTATGAATTAATAGAAAATGTGAATTTTGTGAAATTTGCTAGAATGACTATTTCAGTTTTAATTGAAATGCATGTAAATTCTTATAAGCTGATTTACTTTATATTTATTTACTCATGGAATGTATATATCAAGATATTAATGAAAATATAACAGAAATTTTAAAATGTACTTTTGTAAAACTAAAAAAATGATGTTAAATTTACTGAAATACATTTTTTATGAAAATAATTTTATATATTATTTTAGGATTTGTTTATTGAAGTTCAAGCATTTTGTATAGAATTTAGTCGAATTCGCGAAGCAGCAGCTTTATTTCGTTTGCTAAAACAGTTGGATAATAGTGATCAAGCAGTCACGCAAACTCAAACTCCTACACCATCTGGAGGAAAATAAAAATTATACCATATATAATAAGATTTAAACATGTAAGTCTATTTTTAATAATTGAAAATAACTAACATTTAGACCTGGTTAATATATTTACTTATGATTATTAAAATTAAAAGAAAATATCTCCTTATCAAAGAGAGAAAATAATAATTTAATTCTTTGTGTATGTATACATTTTCCATATGTAAGCACACTGAAGCTAACTATTCAACTACTTGATTCATGTAGTTTCCTATGTAAAATTTAAATAGTTGTAACAAACTGCATGTATTTCTTATGAGAGTAAATAGCTTTTAACCAGTTTTCTAAATCATTTTTGATGTCTTAAAGCACCTTTTTATTATTTTTATTTTACAGTGAAGAATTTATTTTTCTAACTTTTATATAAATATATTTTTTTTCAATTAATAAATAGCATTTGTTATGAAACATGTATTACTTATTTTATATAAAAGTTTTGTAATTAAAAAGTTAGAACTTTTCTACATATTTATTTGAATAATATAAAAATTGATTTCTAATAAGTTGTTTCATTATTGAAATTTAAACAAATCTCTTGTAAGTTATGTAGATGTTTTTCAGTTATTGCAGTTTGTTAATGGGTTTCTTGATTTACTGCTATTTTTGCTATCTTAAGGAAATTTTGAAACAGCTAGTAAAGCTGAAATTTTTAATAATAAATAAATTAAATAAATACAGTAAGACCCCACTTAACGCTGATTTGATATAACGTGGTCTGCTCGAAACCTAAGAAAAGCTCAAACTTTACACTGATTTAAATTATCCCAGCATTTCATTGATTCTTATATAATATGATTATTTGCAAACACAAACCAATCAGGAAAAGGTGGCAGAAAGATGTACTTTCTTTAAATCTATGTTTGGTGCAATTTTGGAAAAAATATAACATCATAGTTTCTGGATACAAATTCACTGAGTCAGCGTTAATAAAGTTCCTTTAGTATTAACACAAGCACTTTTGACGAGTGTATAACTGTCATCTTCGGATGAAATGAACAAATTTTAACGAAACGAACATGCAGAATGTTCCAAAGGAACAGAATATTTAAATTCAAACCAGATGTCCAAAAATTCCGTTAAGAATGTGCAAATAGTTTTTGATATGTTCGAATCTTTAAATGGATGCGCCACTACCTACATCTTTAAATCATGCATGCGCCACTACCATTGTAAAAATCTTTGATTTTTACAATGGTAGTGGCGCATGCATGGAAATGCTACCACGTTGGCGATACGATGTTAGGCGCATTTCGTTCTTTAGACGTCGATACAAGGCAATCCACACCCCGGATAGATCGAGGGTGGGAACATTGCACGCTTCTGTAGTAGCCGTGAGAAGCGCTTCCCAGATGAACACAAGCCTTCGATTGTTGAAGAATTTAATTATTGCTGTTCTGGGCCATAATGGGTTGTAGACTTGCTTGAGAACTTTTTTAGCTAGCTCTGTAGAACATCTTCCTTTGGCTACATCATCCTGATGCTCAGCAAGGCAGGAGGCAAGCATTCTTGTTGTTGCTCCTATGTATCTTGTAATAGCTCCCGTTGCCAGATTTTCTAGGTGTATTGCATAAACCCCATTTTTCTAAAAGCCTGTCTCGATTGTTGCAGATATATCTGCGTAGGTTTGGTAGGGGGTTATGGGCAGTATGAAATTATACTGCTGAAATGGATTTATGCATGGCAAATATGAACATGTGCTCCATAAGGTAAGAGTCCCTATACCCATGTACCACGCTGTACAGGAAGGAAAAAGCATCCGTGATCCAGTCATCATTGCCGTATCTTGGATCAACCTCTACACGCATCAGCCATGTATTACCTTATGGAGCACATGTTCATATTTGCCATGCAGTATAATTTCGGCAGTATAATTTCATACTGCCCATAACCCCCTACCAAACCTATGCAGATGTATCTGCAACAATCGGGACAGGTTAACCATTTTAGAAAAGTCAGGGGTTTACGCAATATACCTAGAAAATCCAGCAACGGGAGCTATTACAAGATACATAGGAGCAACAACAAGAATGCTCACCTCCCGCCTTGCTGAGCATCAGGACAATGTAGCCAAAGGAAGATGTTCTAGCTAAAAAGTTCTCGAGCAAGTCTACAACCCGTTTATGGCCCAGAATGGTAATAATTAAATGCTGCAACAATCAAAGGCTTGTATTCATCTGGGAAGCGCTTCTCACGGCTACTACAGAAGCGTGCAATGTTCCCACCCTCGATCTAACTGGGGTGTGGATTGCCTTGTATCCACGTCTAAAAAACAAAACACGACTAATATCATATCGCCAATGCAATAGCATTTCCATGCATGTGCCACTACCATCGTAAAAATTTAAAGATTCGAACATATCAAAAATCATTTAAATATTTAATAAATTTTAAATATTTAAATAAACAATGAAACATGATATATTTTAACTATTTAAGTAATAGTAACATTTTTGTCATCATTTATTATTATTATATTTCAGTTATGCTTGATTTGATTTTAGTGAATAGCAAGTAAATTTATTAGAAAATACTTGAACTTTTATAATATGTCATTAAGATTAATAGTGAAAATAAAAAAGCATGAGGAATTTATTAAAAAGTTAAGTTTGATGTATTAAATATAGATTAGTAGAGATCTGCTGTTAGTTTTATAATTAAAATTTATTTTGAAAAATATAATAATTTTTTTTTTTTTTCTTTTCAGAATATCATTTGTCTGCCATGAATTAACATCATAAGTTAATCAATTATTTTAAAGTTCATTTGTGATTTTATACCTTGTTTTACAATTTAATTTTAACAAATTCTCTATTGCATAGAATTACAGAAATTTTTTTGAAAATCTAAAATTGTTCATAAGCTTATGAACTTTATTTTTAAACTGTATAACAGTAATACTTGATTCATAGTTTAAAAAATTATTTATCAATAAGAATAACTTTTAATAAAATTTGAAATAAAATTTACATTAAATACATAGGTAATTTTATGAAATATAGCGAGGAATTTATTATCCTGACTTATATTACAACAAGTTAATTTTTTCATGAAGCATGCAATTGTATTTACAACAAATATTTATTTTTAAAAAACTATAAATTTGCTTCTCACTTATTAATAAACATAAAAAGCAATTTTCAGCATACTTCATTATTTAAAATGTAAACATGTTTTTGGACTACTGTACTAATACAGATTATGCTTCTATTCAGTCATCACAACTTATTTCTGAATTTTCACATGCAAATTGAATGCATTGTCATATTCCATATAAATAGAAAATCATTGATCTAAAAACTTAGATCATATAATAATTTATTTAAAAAAGAACATTTTCAATCATCATCATGTTAATGTAAATCATCATTTAAAACATACAGAGAGCATAGAATGATAAAATGTAGTATTCTTATTTTCTTATATTATTCAAAAAATACTTAAACTTTTTCCAGAAATGAATTTTATTTTGCTTAAAATTTTTAACTGCTCTTATGATTGTCATCTAGATACTTGAGAGATACAAGATCATTTAAAAATAAGTTTGTTTTTTAATCTTAAAAGCTGCATTTATATATATATATATGTATGTATGTAGTGGTACCTCGATACAGGAGTCTGAACTTGAACAATTCGGTATTAACTCTAGTTTTTACAGGTCCTACCAGAGTACACCACCCATTTCGACCATACCATCTAAATGAAATTTTTTTTTGGTTAGTAAATACAGGAAATCTTTGTTAATTTGAACTCAGACATTTTGAAATCCTGTTAGTTTGTAACTGTACGTTTGACCCTGCCAGGATGTAGAGATTTACATGTTAAGGAATTCGGTTAGTTCAAAATATGATTACTTTGAAATTCAAATTGAAAATTCTGTCCAAGCTGTGATATGTATACATTATCTCATTTGTTTAGATCAAAGTGCCTCCATACTATAAGAGAACGATAGATCAACAACAACTCTTAACTGGTCAATATGATTTTGCTTTTACAGTAACATGTTTTCAGGTGTCACCTTACATGTGGACTACCCTTTTTTCCTCTTACCTCTTAAAATATGGCTGATTTTTGGGATTGGAATTGAGAATAAGAGTGAGGTATTTTTAATATTCTAGGCTATTATATTTGGGCAACTTACTACTTTTTGAGCCACTTTAAAAATAATTTGTGCTATATTTTGAGGAATTCTGCTTTACTTTTATAAAACGCATCTGGCAGCCTGTGAGGTTCTCGCCAGACAGGTGCTGTTTATTTGCAGTTTATTTATATTATTTACTAGCAGATGAGCTCAGCATTGATCGGGCAAAAAATAACAACAAACATTAAAAATATTAGATTTTTTCATACTTCTAACTTTTCTATTGTATTACATTATAGTACAGTGGTGCTTCGTATAACGTACTTAATCCGTTCCAGGTGCACGTCCGTTATATGAAACGCATTTTCCCATAGAAATACATGTTAAAACATATAATTTGTTCCACAGCATAAAATAATCATACTGTACCATAAAAAATGAAAATGGAGCAGACACCAATTATGCCTGGTAGTCAGATGTTGTGAGGAGGAGGTGGAAGAACACTTTCTTTACACATTCATACAGATAGACTTTTTACACATTGCAGCGGGTCTTTTTTTATTGTTTTTTAATCGGAGTCAGATTCAGGAGAGGCTACCGGAACTTGCAGGGTCAACTTCTCTTGTTCCATCCTTTGTTTTTTGCCCGCTGGCTTCTTGAAAAACATGACCAAGGTGGTCTGTTTCTCTTTCTTCTTTAACACCTGTCGGAAATGACGGACAAAGGTGTCATCGTAGAGATCATTGATCCTGTTGGCCTCAGCTCTGTTTGGATAATGAGTGTTGGTAAACTCCTGAACCTCTCCCCATTCGACAAGAAAGTTTTTGTCAACTTTCACTCCTGATGATTTCTTGCTTTGTTTCAATTGAAATCACCTTTCTGTTTTTTTAGAAGCCATGATGCATTATAAATGACTTAACTTGCCAGATTATATGATACGAATAATTCTTTATTAATTAAGATCACTAAACACTTCTACGAGCTACTCTCGCTCCGTTTGTTTTTTACAACCTCTTTTCGTCCCGCCACCTCGGCATCTACACAATTACATTTCGTTTATTTGAATCGTCAACATATATTACATTACATTTAATGTTTATTTAAATCATCAACATATATTACATTACATTTCTACTTCAGATATACTAATAATACATTGTAATAATACTAATATATTCTAAAAATAGCAGATTGTCATTGGCAACGGCAAAAGAGTGGAAACATCATTCGCACTTGTTCAAAGAAAGTCCATTGTTCATCTCACGTAACTGCCGAACGGAAAGTCCGTTGTTCGCAGCAAGTCCGTTGCTCGAGTCACATAACGGTCAAACAGAAAGTCCGTTATTTGCAGCATCCATTATTCGAGGCGTACGTTATACGAGGCACCACTGTATTTGATTTATATAACTACAAATGTTATCTTATGTAAGGGTTTAAAACACTAAGTGCCCAATGTCATGCATTTTAAAAATTCTTCAAATTTTGTACAGTAGAGGAATAAAGAATTTTGAAAATGTGTTAGAAAAGTGTTTATCATATCAAGTGAACAATCTAAGATAACCTTTATAGTTGCATAAATCAAATACTATAGTATAATAAATAGTAAGACAAAAACCATATAAAGAGTTTGGTTATTTTAGCTACCATTGTCACATTTATCACGATTCTCGAACAGCACAAAATGGCACAATTTCATTGATTATATAGACACCAATCGAAAATGTGGTATCTTAAATTTTTTCAGATATCATAATTCTTTCTCTATCTCTAAGAATGTTGCATGTAGGAAACTATTCCATTCACAGCCAAATATCAAATGGTCATCTGACAATGATTCAAATTTCGCAAAAAAAACGGTCTGAATATTTAAACTCGGCGCACTCAAAAACCATTTAAATCATATCTTATGCAGGCCAGTAACTTCATATTTTGGATTTTCCAATTCTAATGCTACCATACCTCTGGTCCAATAGAAAGAAGGGATCATTGTAAAAGGGAGTTGAAGTAATTTGAGGAAAAGTAGTTGTTGATCTCCCAGAAGAAAGGATGGTCAACCATTACTAATCAATACTGCTCTACTATTAATTGAATTAGACAGGTTGTGATGGCTCTGCATATGATTGAGTTGCTAACCTTAATGTCCAAAAGACTTCATATGATTTGTTTAAATAAAAAACTTTTGTAAAACTTAGGATGTTTTTGCTTAGGTATACCATAAAAGCTATTATTCTATCTCACTGAGAATTACTTATTAACCATAACAAACGTTTTCAAGCTTTAACCAACTTTTTCTTATCTATTTTATTATTTTGTTATTTTAAATTGGACTAATGAGGATTTCCTGTATCTCTTTTTGATATTCTTTTTTCCAAGACACGTAATATTTTGCCCAGTTAAGATCAATTTCTTTTATTCATTTTTGTCATTTATGGCTGTAATTTTTGTTTTGTATACATTAAATTTCCACTTCTGACAACTCTGGACAAGATAGATTTAAAGATGTTAAGAAGTGGCTCTTTTGTTACTTGTTCAACACACTTTGCCACTTAGCTTTGTCAAAACTATTCTTTTATACATACCAGAGGAGTTTTTCTTTTTGTCCTGGTGATTTTTTTTGTCATTATCCATTTGAAAATCTGTGATTGTGCCTTAAGATTGACATAACATTTTAGCAGTTGATCTCACTGATTTGCCACAACTTTTCTAAACTGTAATGATGAAAATTGTAATGTAAGAATAATGTAAAGATAATGTAAGAATAATGTAAAGATGAAAAACTGTAATGTAAGAAAAATTATCAAGTGAAATCGAAAGGTTGTAACCTTTCGATTTCACTTGATAATTTTTCTTGGCACACGAAAAAGTCATCCAGATGACTGCTTTTATTGTTGAAGTAATTTGCATAAATAATGATGGTAAGTAAAAACATCACAAGTTAACTACTCTATGCATTATATCAAGATAGTAATTCCGATTTTTATGAAATTGTCCTATAATTTTGCAACACAAAATTTCTGAGATAATAGGACTTAAAATAATTCCTATTTTTATTTTGTGCACCTTAATGATTATTAGCATATAATAAAGGATTAAATATTATTCCTTATTTAAGCTTGATTGTCATCTTTACTGAATTGATTTGAAAAAACTCTTATGGTCATATCATTATGAAACATTGTATTCGTTTCTCATTTTTATGTATTTATTATAATAAGCTCATTTTTTAATTTTCTTTTTTTTCTTTGTTAATAATGTAATTTTTTTGTTGTTTTAAAATAGTTTAAATTGATGACTATGGAATTATTTTTCAGTTTTTGATATTTCTGTTCTTGATGATGGTACAGCATAAAGAAAATATTTTAAAATTAGTTGTCATTTTTGATATTACTTTTAATTTAATGATAGCTGAAATTTTTAATAAATTATTGTATGTTCTAAGATTTTAAATCTCCTGTATGTAAAGTCCAATTTAAAACTAGAAAAAAAAACAATAGTGCCATTTATAAGTATGGAGGAATGCTAATACAGCTACCATAATCTGAAATTATCCTATATTATAGAAATAAATTATTTGTAACTACATTTTTTTATAGTGGAGATATATTATAAATAAACTTTTTAAATTATATATAAAAATGAGCATATCCCATGAACATTTTAAACAACTTCTTGAAATACTCTAAAACTTTAATAATTTTATCAATCTAAATACAGTATATCCAAACAAGAATGAAAATAATATATAAAATAATGCATAATTTTTAAAAA